ACATGATGTCTGGTCTCTATGTCTTAACTTGATAGTACAGTTTGTTATCGATCACTACACATCTGTATTCATTAAGCTTATATTTTGACTTATCTTGATTTGTGATCTTTATCTAGTCTATTACATGTTCAAAACTCTTGAATTTCTTTGACCAAGACATTTTTATTTAATAAAATAATAAATTTTTATGTAAAAGAAATTTTTTTATAAAAAAATTTTCATACAAAAGGAATTTTATCTTTTTTTATATTTTTTTTATTATAATATTTATATATTATATATTTTCTCTAAATTTCTTTATGTTTTAAGAGAATAATCAAAATAAAAATATAATTTATTCAAAAATGTATTATAACAAGTGCTTTTCTAGTATTAATAAAAGTTATTCTTCATAATAAAAAGAAATAGAATCTTTATTTTTATTAATATTAATTAAAAACTCATCAACTAACAAGATTTTTTCTCTAAAAAAATATATATAATTTTTTTTCTAAGAGAATAATTAATCAAAATCATCTTCGGATTAATTATTGGTATTCTAAACCTATTTTATGCTTCTATTAAAATTTGTAGAACAAGGTCTCATCTATTAGAATATAAATTTTTAGAATGATTGACCTAATATTCATTGAGATATTAATGATTTTCATTTTGGTTTCATATATGAATCTGTATTTTTGATGAAAACAATAATCAATTGAGGTCATCATTTTTTATCCTGATTCTAAACTATCTGAGATGTATTAATATAGTTGATAGATAATATTCATAAGATTTTTCTCTGAAAATCTCAAGTTATTTTATCAAAAACTCGTAGAGATATTCAATTTTTTTGTTTGAAAAACACATATGAATCTTCTTCTTTAATGTTTACAATAATGTTTGTATTAATTTGAGGACTACACTTCAAGTAAACATACTGTATGATGATAATGAAGTTGATGAAGATGACTTTCAAGAGTTCACATATCAAATTTCAAGTCAAACAGACTAATATTCATGAAATAAGTTCTATTTTTGATGAAGCTTCGTCTGTATATTTCTTTGTAGATCCTTTTGTAAAAAAGCTATGATGATGAAATCGGCTCATCCTTCAAAATTTTACTAATGAAACAAGCAAACTTGTTCTATGAAACTATATGTGTTTTCATTATACAAATATTTTTTATTAATAACTCAAATACGATTATCTTAAGAAAATTCTTCGGAAAATATGATTTTTGGTGTGACGGCATTTTTTTGTAAGAAGTAGTAAAAAATCCTAAAAATCTGAAACTCATATTACTCAAAATTTTATTAAATAAACAAAATAAAGTCATATTATGAAACTATATGTATTTTCATTAGAGAAACATTTTTTACTAATACTACAAAGATGATTGTTATAATAGAATCTTTCGGAAAACATAATTTTAGTAGTGATAGCATTTTTATCTCTTGTAGAAGTGAAAAATCTGAAAACATAATAGAAAATTGAAACTCCGAAATTTTCTAATACCCATAGGGTAATCCATGCCCATCAGTAAAATTTCTGAATCTAATAGTAAAATCACTAATTGCTTCTGGTACCCATTAGGTAATCCATGCCCACCATTAAAAAATCCATGCCCGTCGGCAAAAAATCCTAAATCACTAATTAATTTTCGATAATACCTATTAAGTTTTCTGCAGATTTTCAAAATTGACCAATCGGAGTTTGAGATTCGATGAAAATCCTAGTGTTCATAAATGCCCATCTAGAGATTAAACAATAATTTCATGCATGTTGTAGATCATTTGTATAATGTTATTTAGTTATATGATTTATGGTAAAGTTTATAGTATCAGTACATATAACACTGGACCATGTACTGATATGACTAAGTGTAATAGTAAAAATATAAATAGAAAATACTATTAATTTTGACAATTTATATAATAATATAACCAATACAGAAACTCAAAATGAAATTATAAATCAAGATCTTATAACTTGTTATTATCTCTTTAGTAAAGCTCTATTGGAATAGCTTGAGCATCACAAGAAATTTAATTCTCTATATGCTTCTTTGTTGCTAGTTAATGAAGAGATTAAAGAACAAATTCCTAATATTACAGATACTACATTGTGAAAAAAAGTAGAAAGATCACAAAAGATTTATAAGCTCTTTCTTAATATTAGAAAGAATAAGATTCAAAGAATTAAATCTTTCAGCACTTTGACCATTTCAAAATTAAGTAAGGAGGATATTAATAATATTATACTTAGCATTTTGAAACTGAAAAATTAATCTACTGTGCCAGGCATATGGGGTCACATGTCCTGACCACTAAGGTCAGGATTGATATTAATAATTAATATACTTAGCTATAAAATTAATAAAGTTTTTATCTATTGCCATTATTCAACTTTTTAAATATGTTTATTCAAGATTTTTATCTATTGCAATTATCAACTTATGAGGCTTATAATTTGTTTGTAAGATGGAGCAAATTTGTATAATAAAAAAGTTTTAGCTATGTTATATTTTTTTCTGTTAATATATAACAATAAAAGGTCAGAATAATATATTTATAAATAAAAAATGTCAAAATTACATTAAAAAGTAATATATCTTTAGAGGATGAATGCATGGATATAAGGTCTGTAATGAATACAATCATCATTCACATCTATATTGCAAAATATGCAAAAAGATAGCAAATGGAATATATAAACAATATGAGTATAAAAATTTTATAAGAGAATCAATTATGCCTTTAGATAATTACTGCTACCAAATTTTAAATTTAATACATAGAAAAAATTTATCTTAATTCTGTATAATTGAATATGAATATGATTAATGCATGCTTCAAGGCAGGGATGATAATTTTCTGCGATGGTTAAGACTAAATTCTGCATGTAGTTAAGATAAATTCTGTGATTTAATGTAATAAAAATTTTTGTGATAATATTTATAATTTCTTTACAATTCTGCAGTACTATATTGTAATTTCTGTGATTTAATGCAATTCAAAACAAATTCACTAATGAACATGCTCATAATTTATATTGATTTATTGTCTACCTTTCTGGGATTTCCTAATGCCGGCTTGTTAAATTCTGCGATAATATTATGAATTCTGTGATATTCTGTATATTTTTTGGAATTATGTGATATTTTGTAATAACTAAAAGTGATTTTTGTAGTTGGCTGTGATTAAGAGAAATTATGCGATTTTTTGTGAATCACAAAAAATCATTCAAGAGAGCATAACACAAATGTCAAATATTAGACATTGGAACATTGATTCAATTAAAATCACACTTTGTACTGTATAATGATTTTTTTGATATCAGTTTAAAACTACCCTATATAGAAATTTTTAATATATAGATTATCATTATAATTTTTTCCTTTTTTTTCAAAATTAGATAGATGAAAGTAGGAATAAACATTATAGATATTTCGAACAAAAGCCTTCAAAATAGAACATTATAGAATTTTTAGAACAATGTGACCTTGAGCTATACAGCAAAAAAGTAGATCAATATATTAGATACCTCAGATGTATTGCTTATGATGAGCAAAAAAAGAGAAAAGAAAAGACAGAAGAGCTTCTCATAAGATACAGTAAAGTAAAATTTTTTGTCAAATATGCAAGTAAAAAATAGTAGCATAACAAGAACCCAAGATCCATTTAGTGCTTAATCATTTAAGGCCATTTGCATTTTTCACAACTGCCAAGCTACAAAATCAGTGCTAAAGCACAGATGACCCAAGGCCATTTGCTTACTTAGCAACTGCTAATCTAGTACTAATTCTACTAGGGCACAGATAATCCTTTAATCAGTTGTCTAATGTTCAAAACTACTTGCTAATCTAGCAATCATTAACCTTGTAGGATGAAAATCAGGTAAAAGCATGATATGTTAGTTAAGAATATTATTATTTTGAACCTTGTTTGCAAAAAAAAAATAAACCTAACCAACAACATGTCAAGAATTGGAAAAAAACACATAAATCAAGTAAAATAAATGGTGGTTTCTTGATTCATATTCACAACATCTATAATTTGATATTATCAGAAAACTCTCTTACTATTGCTAAGAACACTTCAACTACCAAACACAAGTGAGAGGGCCTTAGAGAGAGGAAGGTAGTATTTTATGCTGAAAGCTCAACAGATACAGATACATGTTTCGATTTCAATTGTAAGGAGTCCAGGAATGTAAGTAACACTAGTGTATTTCAGTTACAGAACTATAATTATTAACATTCTTTACAATTTTGATTTAGGTTAAAAGACAATCAAACTGATTTAATATTAAGGAGTCCATCACTTATAATGATGAAGTAGAAAGTAATTATGATTTCTTAAATTTTGAGCTTGCTTATCAAGCTCTTGATCTCTCAAAAATGTGTATTCTCAATTCATTTAGGCATATCATCGAAAAAGTTATATATAATCATATATGAGAATTAAAATATGATTCTTACTTACACTCTTTAATTATAAATGATGCTGATATGGAGGCAAAAAAACTGTTTAACAAAAATGAGTGAAATGAAATATTTTTCTCTAATTCAAAACAAGTACTAAAAATTGATGAAAAAATTGTGAATCTTTTGAAAAAATACAATATAAACAATTTATCTACCCTTCAAAAAGTTATTTTTGAGCCCTTTTTTTCTAATAATGCTTCTTATTCAACAGATTTGAATTATATTAACTTTGCATATAGGTCAATGTATTCTCTATAGAGAGGAGAAGACAATTTTATATTAGCTTCAAAACTAGAAAGGTGGTTCAAAATGAACATCTGGACTCATTTAGTTGATCTCACTTTTCATGAGATGAAAACTGATTTGGTGTGAGAAGAAGAAATATGTTTATTGCAAAATAATAAAAAAAATACTAATAGATCTGAAAATAACCAAAAAAAAATTGACAAAAAGGGAGATGGGATCTTTAGATTACACAACAAGCACTTTGAATTTAGCATAATTGAAGCTGAAAGAAACTAGAAGGGAACAATGGGAACCAAACTCTTAACAGATTCTTTAAAAATATCTAAGATGCTTAAAGATATGATTAATATACTTGCAACAAAATGCAATATAAAAAAAGATGTTTTAAGAAAGTTACAAATAACTGAGATTCTCCAAGAAGCGAATATGATGCAAGTAATTACTATAGATCTTCTAATGAAATATGTTACTTACATCTATCGTCAAAAATTTTATAAAGTTCCTAGTCATTTAAACAAATATCAACCACTTGAATTCATTATAATAGAGGTTTTATTTGTAAAATCTGTAATTAAGCAAACACTTAACTTGATTAATGAGTCAAAAGTAGATTTTAAACATTTTCTTAATAACTATTATGAAAATGACAGGTCTCAAACACTCTTCCAAAATATTGTATTCTTTATATCATTAACTCATATAACTCTTGAAAAAAAAATGAGTTCAAGATTTTCAAGATATTATTCAACAATAGTTATAGTGGAATAAAAATTAGTGATTCTATTTTTTTTAGTAGGATTTGTCAAAATTTCAGAATTTTAATTTGTATTAATATATATGCAGTAAGTGTCCTTAAGAACCCAGTGAAGTTTAGAAATAGAATGTGAATATCAAAATTTTTTTTTGACTAATCTGCGTTATGTGCATGTGATAGGTAGAAAAATAATAAAGTATTTTAATATTAATATTTTTGTACAGTGTATATGACATATATATAAAATTGTGCTATACTACTACATATAAAATTATGATATGCATGTCTATTAGAAAAATAGTACTGTTTCAGAAGATAAAATTAACCAGATTTTCTTTATGATCAGAGTTGTGTATTTTTTATCTTTGTTCTGCTTCGAGCATTTATGTGAGAAAGTAGTAGTCTATTATATTAATTAAGTTTTTGCTCATAGGTCCACCTATTTATTAATTCATGTATGCAAGTGGTATGTTATATGTATATAGTGTATTTGTTATCAAAAAAGAGTATTCTAAAATCATATAAATTTTTTATATCTGTTTTACTTAATCACCCTAAAATTCTAAGCTGTGTCTGCAAAGCAAAAATATTATATATTATTATGAATTATGAAGTGCTAAGTCTTCAACTCATAACTTATAATAAAGTTTTTAATATTTTTAATCATATAAATATATTAATAAATACAAGATCATAGCCTATCATGAACTATATCAAGTTGAATCACTATGTAGTCAGATAGTTAATTTTTTTTTCTTAGCATATGAATACTCACATATTTGCATAATAAAAAGATTTTGAATAAATTTGCACCTTATATAAAAAATAGCAAATATATAATCCAAAATTGATTTATTAAAAAAACAGATTTCCAAGCTTATAGCAGAGAATAATGAACTTAAAAAGAAGAAGGCTGAATTCTTGGCTAAGGAAGCAGGACTTATAGCTAGAATTGTAGAATTAGAATGCATGACAAAAGAAAATATTAAGCATAAAGCTGAAGTTGCAAAACTAAGACATGTTTTCAAGAAGATCAAACGGGACTGAACTATTACTAATACACAGGGAGTATCTTTTGCAGAAGATATCACACAGTCTCAAGCATGTTCACCATTGATGGTACCTATTGAGAATCACTCTTATAAGAATTATAATGTCAGTGTTAACATAAGCCAGCTAAAAATCAAACCTAAATCATAAAAGAAAGAGACAGATAAATTTCTGGATGCAAAATTTAAGGAAAGTATTAGCAATCAGATAAGAGATAGAAACAGAAAAAAAAGCTTCCAGCTTAAGATTCGAAAATATCACATGACACAAAAAGCATTTCTAATAGAAACACTTAGAAACAAATTTTGTCAAAGCCAATACGAAATAATCCCAATGATGGATATTACTCCGATGCCTATATTAAGCTTAACAAAAAACAGATTGTTAAATAGGAACTGATAGAAGAATTACAATGCCAGGACCTCTCTAGAGTATATACTGTTAGAAATAATATAAGTGAAAGCCAGCACATTAGTGATAAAATCAATGAGCCTTGTGATGAGTAAATTTCAAAGACTTTGATTTCAGAATTTGCACTAACTTTGGCCTATTTTTTTAAAAAGGCAACTAAGTTCTGTTAAAAAAAAATTTTACATTGGTATAATTATTCTTTTGAAATGGAAAGCAAGGTTTTCACTATTATGGCTGAAAGTAAAGCTACAGAGCAAACAGTGAGAGCTTAGATACATAAAAAAATACTATGGCATCTATCAAATGTTTTGTTAGTTTCTCTATGAATTAAACCATGTAAAGTGAAAAAAATTCTAAGTCTATTTGGAGAAAAGAAAGTTGGGGTACATAAAATTAAGCAAGTCTCTTATAGTGCAAGAGAAATTTCTAGCCTTACTAATGCACAAATTCAGAATATTACTCACAAAGTAAGGGCACTTATGTGTTTAAATCAGGTGAATTCAAAAACTGTTCCCTTGGTGAATGATCAAACCAAGAAAATTTTGCCTAAAACAGAAGTAAGTACTATAACCACTTCTTCTATCTAATTGTTTCATATCTTTAATTTAGAAAATAAGATAAGTGAAGTTAACTCTTTACTGGAGACTAAGGTAAGTATGACTACTAAATCGATTTCTTTAAATTCATTCCAAAAAAATAATCAAGATGAGTCAAAAGCTCAAAACTCTGCTTTCTCAAAATTACCAGAAGCTGAAGTAAGTATATCACAGATAAATACATCTAGCCACCTTGTGACTGCCTTTGGCAAGAATAACTGTTTAAGTTTTCATAAAAAAGTATTAGATCAATATCCTAATATATTTTATGAATTTAATAATAAAAATATTGATTATTACAAAATTACTAATAAGACATTATGTCCTTTATGCAAGTTAGATCCTGATAATGAGAAAGGCATAAAAGGAGAATATAAGGATGAAACTTACTATATTAAATATAAGCAATATGAAATTCAAATAACTGCATAAAATTTGTTTGTGCTTTATAACTTACCTTCTTGCAATATCTGCTCGAAGCCAGAAAAAAAACAGACAACATATACTAGAAGCATATCTATTTTTTTCCAAGTGATAAAGAGGAAAGAAGAATATTTTTTAGTACAGAATATCTGAGAATTAAATTGCTTTAAAATTATATAAATAACAATATGGATATACAAGCCAAGTCTGATAAGGTACTAACCTCCAAATATTTGGATTAGTATTTCAAATTAACTGATTTGCCAACCACTATATTTGTTAAACTTTGTTTTAAATTATATAAAATATATAAGAAAAAAACTCTACAGAATTGCGTTATCAAAATTTCCAAGTTTTCAGAAGAGAAAGATGTAATTATTGAAGTAGTATATAAATGTTTTTTTTCTTGAGATATATTAAATCAAATGCATGGTACCAAGATGTTTTTAAATATACAAATCCAGAAGCTAAATGTCTAATATGTAAAGAGATGCATATACATTTAGGTATATAGAGAGATTGGAGCTGTCTAGATAAAAATAATCATTACTTTCTTAATTGCCTTTTTTGTATCAATCAAAAGAAGCTATTAATTGCTTTGCAAACTTAGAAAACCAAATTTAAATGTAGAAGAACCTTCATTAGTAGATCATGGTTCAGATGCAAAGCATCTTTATTCTATAAGACAAATTAATTTTAATAAAAATTATATGTGGATTCAAAATAACTGTATAAATAGTAACCAATACTTATTTACACAATCATGTTAAAATAAAAAATAGTAAGCCTATAGGACCTCTCTCTTTATTTAATAAAACATTGTTGCTAAACATTATACAAATAAAATATATATTTATTATATAATAAAAAACACTCTTAATGGGTTAAGTTGGTAGAGTTTACATTTGATCTAATATTTCTCTTTGTTAACCATAGTTCAACCAATCATTATCACCATTTTTCTCATCATGCTCTAAGTTTTCTTTCAACATTTTTCCTTAGGTCTCATCATCTAATTTTTAGTAAAATAAAAAACTTAATTCTGATAATTATATTTCAGCACAAATGTACTAGCATGGCACAAAGTTTACTTACAAGATAAATTTCTTGCAGCTTGTATTGTTGCTTTGATTTGAATAGTTGGGGGTAATGCTATCATTAGTCTTGAAGGTAGTAGTATTGTTAGTCTTGGAGGTGGTAGCATTGTTGGTCTTAGGAGTGATGCTATCTTTAGTGCTCATTTTATAGTTTTAAATAAAAAATATAGTAAGTAAAATTCATTTTTATAAGAAAGTAGATATAGAAATACAACATAAATATCTAAAAGAAAAATAGAAACAAGGAAGGAAAGAAATCAAAATTGCATGTCACAACATTAATGGACTTAAAATCAGGGGTTGGAAATTAGAAAATCTGATAGAATAGGCAATAAAGAACTTACAATAGTAAAAATAACAGAAACAAATATTACAGAAAAATAAGAGAAGTTTTTATTGTACAATTGCAACATATATTATAAAGGTTATTAGACTAGTGTAGCAACAAACAAGAAAAAAGGGTCAGATATAGAAATATTAATAGATGAAAGGTGAGAAAAGCATGTAGAGGTAGTTAAAAGAATCAGTAAGTACTTGCTAGAGGTGAAATTATATTTTAAACAACTAGAACTAGTAGTATTAGGAGTATACATTCCATCAAATGACAAATCGATCAGCAAGAAAATCCAGCAAAAAATTATAGAAATAGTACAAACAAGAAAAGAAATACAGAAATAATTATACTAGGTGACTTCAATCACACAGTAGATAACATACTAGATAGACAGCATCTGCAAACATCAAGTTATAAAAGACTACTAATATTTAGCTAGCTTAAAAAACAAGACTTTGTAGACTTGTTTAGAAGCATGCATCCAGCAAAAGAAGCATACATATAGACAAATCAGGAGGCTGCAACAAGAATAGACTACATCTGGCTGTTAGAAACAATTGCAACAGGCTTACAGAAAGCAAACATAGAAGAAGCAGAAGGCCTAACAGACAGCGATCACAACAGAAGTATGGATAGAACATGTAATTGCAAACTGCAGTAAGGCAGAAACCAAACGTAAAAACCAAACAAAAACAATATATCTATATGATGAAGCAAAACAAGAAGATTGGGAAGAATATGCAAGAGAGTTACAAAATTAGCTAGAATAGAAAAAAATACTAAAACAACTAGAGGATAATAAAGCAGAAATAAATTATAATACAGATAGACTTGATCAGATATGGGACACAATAGAAGGGGCCATAATTGAAGTAGCAAACAAGCAATTTCCGAAGACAGATTTTTAACACAAAGGTGAACAGAAGACAAGACCAGAAAAAGTTAAAACAATGCAAACATATTATTGAACTTCAACAAAT